ATTGTAATTACCAACAAATATATTTCTAAATTAAAATTTCTTTGGCATTTATTATTATAAATTTTAAAAGAATTAACAAACGAAATTCTAATTTAATATAAATAATGTTTTCAAAAATTAACTTTTGATTTAACTTTAGTTAATTTAATCTGAACTTAATTTTAATTGGAGTTCATTTTTTGCAACTTTTAATTTCACTAAATTAATTTTATAAGCAACTAACTTTAACTTAACTTAGTTTTAAAAAATCATTAATTTACCCAACCCTGGTAATAATTTTCTTAAATAGTTGTAAATTAGTATTCTCTCCTTCCTCATTCTATAACATACTTAAATGATCTAAAATTTTTCTCTTTCTCTTACGAAAATCATGATTTTTAAGTTATAAACAATTAGGCTACACTGGGAAAAAATGTAGCCACCATAGCTAAATTTTAGCTGTTCCTATATTACAATCTGAAACTTAGATGAACTAATATTTTTTAATTATAGTTAAACGGAGAATTCTGTAATTAAAACATATCAACTATCACACCTAAAATTTAAGCATAATAACTAAATTTCATGTGTAATATAGAAACGGCTAAAATTTATTTTTCCCGTGATACATTAAATTCTTTGAGTATATTCTAATTTAAAGTATAATTGATAGAACATTTATATAGGAGTTATGTCAACAAACTACAAATGTAGTTTAAAAAGTTCCACAAGAAAGCAATAATGTATCCTTTACACAAATCTGTATTAATGAGCTCATGAATATTTTTTTAACTGCCTGTTGTAAACTTCACTAATAATTACATCAACTTGTTCATCTCGTTTCTACGTCGTGCTTGTTTGCTGATGAAATCATATGTTTTTTCTTAAATTACATATTAAGATTTCCACACTAAAGCTTTCGTAGAAATATGTAAGAATTAAAAAAATTGCTATGTGATCGAATTACATATTAAGATTTTCATATTTTATAAATATATATTTTTTTCGCAAAGTTATTGAACTCGATAACTTGAGTTAAATTCTACGAGCGATTTCGTCGTCGATTAACCGGAAGGAAGTCAATCGCGGAAATGCACGAGACTCTTCGTCCCTTATCGTTCAACCTGGTACATAATGTACATGAATAATGTACATAATGTCGCTCTCCGAGACAGGATTAACATATCGCGAATGATGACTGTGGCTTTACACGCGTTCCACAGTCTGACATTTCTACTCGTAAATTTGCGCGAGACGTTTTATTTCTCGGCCATAAGGATAATGCGAATATACATATACATGTATACAATATAATATATATGTGTATGTATGTACGCGCATATATCGCGCAAGATGTACAACGTAATCGCGTGAAGAATATGACACAATTTTCATAGCGAGATACGCGCTTTTAAATATGGATGAGGCGATTATTTCATCGAGCTTGCGGTTCACGCATGGCACACTTGTGAGTCACCAAGTCGAGACCAGCGTTCGAATTCTTTTCATACCGAAAACGTCGATACAAAATATCGTTTCTCATCTACGACGCGCTAGAGAGATCGAATTGTCATTGTTATAAAGACAAAAAATTATTAAGCTACACTAAAAAAAGCTTCAATCCTTTAATCACTTTCTGAAATAAACATATACTAATATTTGGAGAAAAGAATCATTTTAAAACTAAATTTTTTTATCAATTAACAATCTAAGTAATTAATACCCAGAGAGAATTTTCTCTTAGAATTTACCCTAAAAAAATCATATGGTAATCTTGAGATATATGATATTGGAAGAATTTTATAAGAGTTTCTCGATCCGATTAAAATTATTAATATCTACCACAATAAAATATAAAATAACGTTCGATTAATTTTACTACGTACATATTAATATTTTTTATTGCGGCAAATATTCAATCAAAGAAACTCTTATAAAATTCTCAATACCATATTGTCCCCCCATACGATTACCATGATTTTCAGAGTGAATTCTAAGAGAAAATTTTTTTCCGTGTAATATGTTATTTTGTGTATGTGTGTGTAGAATCATGTGTCTTTTCCAATATTTTCGTTAATGATGAATATAGAACGAGATGAGAGATTCAGAATGATTTTAAAGGGTGAATCGAGGGTGGTTGTAAATAAATATTTAAAAAAATGATTGATTCTACAAATGAAGTATACAATTAAAATACATCCTACTTCGCGTGTTGAAAATTTCTCACCAGAGATTTTTTTCGGAATGGCTACCGTAGAGCTAGTATAATTAGCGCTTACAATTAGTACAATTTCCTCATGGCAACACGTGACCCGTCCAACGGAAAAGGAGGGCTTGACAACAGAAATAGACGGATGAAGAAAAGACTGGAGAGGAAAAAAAGGGGAACGGAAGAGAGAAGGCCACTGTCACTGCCGCGGCTACGGTGAGGTAATATCAGATTCCATGCCGTGAAACGCACCGGCGCCATTTTGTGCGACGCGCTGTTTTTCATCCTTATACCGAGGCTGATTTTTCCAGCAGTTTCTCGCCGAATGAATTTCAATTACGACGTGACTCGACAAACACCGGTTTTTTCTCCGTCTTTTTTTTTTTAAATCGCTACGTCATTAAACCATTAAACCATTTGCAAAAGACTTTTTTAATTAACAATTGCACGTGTGTATTAAAATAATGCAAATGCATACATCCATTTACGTTTACGATCAATCAAATCTAATTGTAAGACGATTAAACGTTTAAAGAAGGAATGGTCGCGATTTGCATCTTAATAAAAGTGCACTAAATTTGATCGCGGAAAAATCGCGTGATTAATTTTCCTCGGGTCAGACACGTGTAGAGATCAAGTATAAGTTACTACAGCGTAAAGATCAATGTATCTTCTCACGTGCATCGATCGATGATGAAAATAATCACAGTTTAACGTAAGAACCAATGATGCAAATGATGCGAGATTGCATACCTAGATGAGAAGATACGGATTACGACGTAATTGAATATCCCGATGCAGTTGTGATAAAAAGAGGAATAAATAAATATAAGTCTAGATTTTTTATCGTCAATCGTTCTACATCAAACGTACTGGTTTTGCGTTCCGTTATCAAATTTTCACCAAATTTATTATCGCGAAAAATAAAAATATGAAAAAGAGAATAAAATATCGCTATTAAAGGCATTCATTTCGCGGAAGGAAGAACATGTCATTTACGTTGGAGAACACGAATATCATTCCTGCGCACCCGAATTAGATGCAGAGGGGCCGAGGAGGAGCAGGAGAGAAGGGAATCGCGGTAAATGTTGTTTACCTACGAGAGGACGATGACACCTAGCCGAAATGAGGTTCCGCGTCAGTCGGTAGTGCACTTGTTCGCTTCGGCGAGCTTCGTAGCCTTCGCTAGCCCCGGTTAGCATTCGTCGTCGTCCCGTGGTAGCGAGGATAAAGACGAGTCCGCGAAAGAAAAAGAGTGAAGAGGGAGAATGGGGGGTTGTGGAGGGAAGGGGAGAGAGAGGAGACTATGCAGAAGACGAGAGAGGGGCACGAGCCTCGCAGGACATTCACCTCTCTTGTGGGTCTCTCCGCGAGAGACTCGAGCCGCCGCCATTACACAATCGCCGCCGAGGCTGTTCGGCTCGTTCGTTCCTCGGCCATGGTCGCCATCTTGGTACCGGTCTCGCGCCGGCTACGGTTCAAGATCTCTACGGTGAAGGTCTTGAAGCGTATACCGCGCGATATCTCTTTCGTTGGTAGATATTCGTATGAAGCAATCGCCAACCGCGCGTACACAAACGTACGATACAAAGTGCCATCGAAAATGCTATGATGTCGCGAATTTTATTTCAAGGTGACTCTACATCGAATATACAAGATTCGGGATTAAAGAGATGATAATTTCGTCATCTGAATTTTTATGTTTTTTTCAGCATTATTATATATTATTTCTGTCAAATAAAACTCTGACGCGTATCTTTAAATATTTTACCTTAATGTTTCTATAAACTGGACATGCACATATTCAAATTATTTCTTTAAATTGAAAAATTCTTATTAAAAAATGTAATAATTTAATAGGATATCTTTTGTTCCATCGTATAGCTGAGTAGCATAATATAAAATTTAGAAGATGTTCATACGTCCAATCTTTGTATTGGATAAATTTTTCCTGACAATGTAATATTGTAAATTACAAAGGAAAAAAAAATTAATTGAGGTACATTCGATTACGCCGCGTATGGAGAAACCGAAGGCGTAATGGGAGATTCGAATGCCTGGATAGGCAAGAGAGAGAGGCCGGGAGTACACAAGACGTTTAGTCGATCCACGTAGGCCGCGTATATGTATGTAGGACCAAACATTACGAATCACGCGGTGAAATCACGTGATGGTGTTACGAAACGAAAACCTGCCGAGCACCAAAATTCAATGTCGAAGTCGACGAACTTTCGTCCGAAATAGGAGCGAGGCCGCGACAGAGAATGCGCTGTCATATATATATATGAAAGATATGATGGAACGCGATCAAGAGAAATTATAACAAATTTATCTGGCAACTACAAGAGCTTGAGCACGTTTAAAATTTTAAAGAATTTAAGATTCTCATATATTTAACATATATATATATATATATATAATATTTTAATATATATAAAATCAAAAATATTCATTCGATATCCGGAAGATTAAGATGACATGATAATCTAAAAGTTTTGCAGGAGAATAAAATAAACAAAATTTTAATCTCAATTACTGTAGAATAAAAAATATGAAGAATTTGTGATCATATCGCGTGCAAAAAAAAAGAATCGAAAGATATATGTATGCATATCGCTCGTGGAATCCGGTGTTATATCCGGTTGCGTTATAAAATTGAAGCTAATCAATGGTCGCTCTTTTTTGCTTGAAACTTGCGGCTTCGCGACAAGCTGAAATTGGTTTTCAACGAGCCAGCGAGCATCGTAACTTTGCTCTTGTTAGCCGCTATGTTGCCAGTTGAGCAAATTATGAAATTCTTTCGCGTACCTACCTGTTGGCTGGTCTGGATGCTCACCGCGCGATTCCTCAAGAAGCGATTCCCGTCGAATAACTTTATACGTATGTCGATCTTGTAGCGATGCCAAAATAGACAGAAAAATCGATCGAATCAATTTTCTTGTTCCCAGTTTATTTCCCATACTTCTATCCGATTCTTCGGCAAATATCTCGATCTTCTCTATCTTTTTCACTGAAACAAAAATTCAGGTATCTTGTTAGCGCATAAAAAATATTGATAGCTAACATTTTTCAATATAATTTCCTTGTCAAATATAGGTACGAGTCCAATAATTAGTTGCAAATAATTTGTATTATTTAGACATAAACTTTTATACTATTATTCAGTATCGTAATATCGTGTAACAGAAGAAGTAAATTATTTAAAATGTTCACACACTTCTCGTGTGTATACATTTTCTGTATATTAATTAATGATAAGAGAGAACAGTTTTGACCTCGCGAATAGTTCACCACCTCGACGGTGATTGTTTGGTGATTTCGGCTATAAATTGTCGAGATTACGTGCTGCGTGTCACGCTTGCTCACATGAGCCAAGTCTTGGGTCTCGAGGCGATTCGTGGGACTCGGCTCAATGTACGTGAACGTCCGCGCGTAAGTAGGCCGGTCGGTTTGGTTCCTTATCCCGTTACCGCGGAAGAGACACGTGTAATAACAAGCATTACGCATCCTGATGTATGCGTTTTCAATCTTCATTTACGTTGCCTTTTTTTCCTTTTTCTATCCGCGAGTCTCACGAGATTAATATGTAATATTACTCGTACTAGTCACGATAACATATGTAATAAAATTAAATTCCTGATGGATTTTTTCGGTAATCTTAAACGTCTAGTTATATCTTATGAGATGTAATGTTTCAATACTTGGTACACCGATGATTCAATATATTTCAATAGTCATTGTAATAAAGGATGGAATCCATGAGGATTCTCTCCAGGTGAGGGCACAATTAAAATTTTTGTTTTTTATTTTGATTTCTTTCTTAATTTTTTAATTTTTATTTTTTCATATTAAATATGCAAATAAATTCCAGTGTTTATTCGAAAGAAAATCAAATACTTAATTTTTCACTGATTCCAAGGGATAGCAAATGCTCCCTTTTGCCCTCTCCCTTCGGACGCCAATACCTATATATGTTTATTAATTTTTTGACATCCATATGGATATTAAAAATTATTAAATTGAATGTGTAATGAATAACAAGACAAATGCCAAGAAAACACCTGCAATTCTCAACTATGTTTTGTGTATTTAAATGTATTGTACGAAAAGGAGGAAAAATGTCGAATGTAGATGTAACGAGATTTATTTGTAATGCAAATGGAAATATTGACAATCTGTTTTCTTAGCGTGTTTCAGCAATTGACTTACGTAAAGACATGCACGCATACGTAGCATACATACATATTAGGTACGTATATACATATAGATTGTCTGTTAAAAAAATGGATTCGTAGCTAGAAAAAGGCATTCGAGAGTAAAAATCCACTTTTCCACGCGTTTCTTCTCCTCGGGAAGAACGATTCTTCGACGACCGCATTAATTTCTCGCTTCCGCGGACAGCGCGACGATTCGAAAAGAGAAAGAGCCTGCCGGCGTGTTACAGTGTTCAGGTGTAATAGTCGGTTGAGTAAGAAGAAAGCGGCCTTGCGCTACTTTCCATCGTTAGATAATATCGGTAATACAATTTTCACCCGAGTCTCGCAGCTTATCGTCGTCTGTCTGTCTACCTGGCGAAGAGATGCAAATTAATCAAACAACAAACCGTTCATTATATTATATATGTATATGTAATGGAAAAATAAAATGAAAAGATGGCGGTTTAAATGAAACTTCAGTGACAGAACCGGCAAATTACGAGTATTTATAAGTAACGATTTACGAATTACTCTCTTGGAACCGCTGATTTATCTCCAAAGAAGTTCCAAAAAGATCCAGCCGAAGTTTCGTGATAAAGATTTTGTTTCGCGATCCGCACGATTGTCTTGTGCGAAAGAAAAAGATTCGGTGAGATCGAGAATCGCCTGGGTTCAGTGGGTCAAGGCTGTGGGTGAGAGTTCGAGAGTAATCCGTCTCATTCTGTCTCTTTTCGTCTCGCTCTTTGTCGACTCGCTTCGATGACAGAGAGAGAGAGAGACGACACGAGACGAAGAATAAAGACCGAAAAACGAATTACGACGGAGGAGGACACGAGGCATTTATTCCACAGCCGTAACACTTTTACAAATCATGTTGCCGCGTTGCGTAACTTACATTGCGCAATCAGACGTTAGCTAATCGCCGAATGTTACAATCCGGACACCGTTAGACGGATAGTCACGAATAGGACAAGTATTCGTATATGTGTGTATGTGTATACGTCAAGTCTTTGCACGACAAGCCGCTGATTATTTAGAAGAAATCCCTTTTTTTAATATTGACAAGCATTATGTCTACTTGGGCGAGGCTACTTCTTCCTGTAGAAGAAACAACACCGGTTTCCGCATTTTCCTCGAACTTCTCGAAGAATAATAGATCTTAAAAGGAATATTTTGTACATCATGATACAAATATATTAATATCCAGTCTGTTTCCAATAAATAAATAATAAACAAGGAAAATCTTTCGTGAATATTTAAATCTGCTGTTCATATTCTAATATAGTTTTATCTAGATATGTATATTCATTTTTCTTACATCATATCAAGTTCTAGATATTTCTTGATGAAGCAAATTATAAAATTTAGAAATACATATATTAAAAGCTGCTACATTACATTATATTTAAAACATGAAAATATACACAACATTTTTTCAAGAATTTATCTTGAAAATCATATAGTAATCATGAGACAATATGGAATTGGAATAAGTTGCTCTGCTTAATACTTACCACAAAATAAAAAATATCAATATCTAAATATGTTCGCTTAATTTTAGTATGTGCATATTAATATTTTTTGTCATAAATATTAATCAGAGAAAACTCTTGTAAAATTCTTTCAATACCATATTGACTCATGATTACCATAATATTTTCAGGGTAAATTTTAAGAAAAAATTATCTCCGTGTACGAATAAGATAGCAGACTTAGATAAAGTCTTTTTATTTGTAATTTTACTAAATTATATATTTAAATCTTCATATTTAAAAAATGTAAAAAAATTGATATATCGCTTCGTAATTGTATTATTTTTTCATTTTTTTAAATACATGAATTTAAGATGTGTTGGAAATAAATGTATCGTTAAAAATCGCTAAAAGGATAATCGATGAATAAATTTTAGCGGCGATGCAACTGCTCGCCTCGAGCCCTGATTGCACTTGTCGGTTCGGTGCCGGCGAATCGAGTCAGTAGGGTCGTTCTAACGGAACGTATCGTGTCGCGCCGCGCGTTACGCATACGGTAAGGTAATCCCTGGATCGTCAGATGTGCGTTCAACCTTCCCAAGGACATGATGAGCGAAAGTGTTCGCCGTTTAGCGAGGGGCGATTGGCCCTCGGGGGAAAAGAGCGTCGCGAGAAACAAATTAGATTTTTATTCGCGACGACAAAAGTGAGATCTCGCGTTCTCCCCATAAAATTAAATTGTCGAATCCAACTGAAACCCGATGTCGGTCGAATATAAATGCAATTTTTAACACACCCTTGTTGTCCTCGAAGCAATTATGTATATAATTGAATTCGCGCTTGATTCGATTCGCGAGTCCTACTCTAGAAAGGAATGATTTATGGTGATTTAAGCCCTAAGTTTTATGATAAAAAGCTCCAAACTGCTGTCTTAAGTTCTAATCTCTATGAGTTTAAAGCTTGTAGGATCGATATAATTTTTCTCTTAAATCTTCTCAAGTCACCTTAAATCACCCTTCGCAGACTAGGACTAATTAAACATATTATTTCGCGTTTTACGCGAAATTACTGAGAAACACAGCAAAGTATGCGCCGATGAAGACGAATATATACGAACTCGATATATTAATCCGTCCTCTGATAAAGTCGTCGCGGCCCAAGGAAGGAGTCAACGAGCACACGGGTTTCAAGTACAGCGGCGCTGAATGCAAGCGAACATAACTGTTTTATTAAACCGTAAGCCGCGTCTTCGCGTTCAACGGCTACTTATGTAATCGAAAACACGGAGAGTGAAAATCGAGCGCGATCCTACTTTCGTCGGCGCGAGAAGATGCGCCTCCCGGCGCTTTTGCCGGAGCTTGTGTATCACCCGGCTAACGGGCAGCCGCCTTCCGTCAAGTGGCAAGATCCGACTTTTCGCTACACGAGGTCGTCAAAGCGGCGTATTTCGAGGTCTGCTCTTTTCAGCCAAACTGGCTGCGCTAGTTCAGAGTTCATCTTTTCTCCACATTGGAAGGAAAGAGATAAACTTTGAACTGTGCAGCCAGTTCAGCTGAAAAAAAAACCGATGGACCGATGACGATCACCGGAAATTAATTAATAAATGTTAAATGATTCATTGACGAAACATTGCATACCATTTTTCGTCTTTAAAATTTAATTGACGTTGATAAGATATTTCAGAAGGATCAAGGATTGTGGTATCAGAAAAATCTGAGGCTCCTCAAGGGTCAAGGTGATAAACAATCTGTTTTATCGCATGATTGATAAGATATTTCAGAAGGGTCAAGGATTGTGGTATCAGAAAAATCTGAGGCTCCTCAAGGGTCAAGGTGATAAACAATCTGTTTTATCGCATGATTCGTCTATCTATTTCGCGATCGAAGCTCGATCGAGTTGTCGCCATTCGCTGTTTACGCACGTGTCAAGGGCGCGCCGTACATTTGAATTGGAATCGTTATATCGACATTGCGATCTATAGCGTGTCCCCGTTAACCGTTTCTTTAACAAGGTCACATTGCGAAGGTTCAACGCACGAACGAGCCGCGACGGAGAATTATTCCGCGTTTCTACGATCGTTATCAGAAACGACCGATCTAACGTAACGTAAGAATTCCTTCGTTCTGTATTTCTCGAACAATTTGCCATCGTCGCAGACATATAATCGTGCGCGCGAAAATAACTCTAAATTTACTCAGAAAATGTATAAATTTAAATGCAACCCGATAATAAATATTATAAGACTGTAATAAATTATTGTCATGCATAAAAGTGTCACATATAATAAAAAGAATCATCCTCCTAAATTTTTATCTTTTATAAATACATATTTATTAAAATTT